AAATAAATAAATAAATAAATAAATAAATAAATAAATAAATAAATAAATAAATAAATAAACGATAAAATAATTGGTGGTCACTAAATACTACATTTTGGGCACAATATAGTAACTTTCTGGCCACGAATCAGCTATAACACGCTAAATACTGTACTAATTTGGGATCATTAAATAGGTTTAATTTATGCACACAAAATGCACATGCAGAATATTACTGACTTGATTATCATTTTCATTCATGGACAGTTGGGAAATTAATTTGAGCGCACTTTATGTAGAAACGAGAAGATAGACTTGGTAGGTATTCTTAAACATACACCTATAAATACGAAAAAGTGTTGATTATGTCTATTTGACTCAGGGAGGATATACTGTAGTACTGTGCAGTACTGTATTTACTTTGTGCCACGCTCCACCATGATAGGTGGCGGTAGTGCATCTAATAACATTGGTTGGTTTCCATAAAAGAAAACAACACGAAGAAGAATATTCGAAATAAACATGCTAAGTTGTATCCCGATGATTGCACAATAACAACATTAAAGGAGCGCCAGAAGTTAGCTTTATGGTGATTCAGTTTCTCAGCAATGAAAGGAAGTATGAAGCGAAAGGTCAGAGCATTGGTTACATTTACGGGCACAAATTCGGTTACTTTCATTGCACTTTTCCCTCACTTCTCTATCGTCTTTCGTGTCTTATTTGCTTGAAATTCGGGTTAAATTCGCTCTTTGACCAAAGCATCCCAACGCGGCAACGATGCTCCTGCAACTCGTTTAAACTGTGTTTTTTTTCAGCAAGTAAGGAAACGGTTGTTTTAGCAAGGTACGCGTCGAGCCGGTTGGCTACACTGACCCACAGCTGCGGTACGTTAACTCGTCCGCCATTTTGGATGTGGCATATCTGTCCAAATTGACTGAACCTCGTAGAATAGAGCAGGGGTGTCCTCGAGGTTCCTAGCCTGCACGTTTTACAAACAAATTGCAAACACCAAAAAAAAATGTCACACCAAGTATGTAAATATATTGAAATATTGCCCATCTCGTTTAATTTGCTAACAAACTTGTTCAGTGTGAAATCTAGGCCTGTTTGGTTGGCCCCTATCCTGCAAGCCTTATATAATTTCTTAATCCAAAATACCTGATTCAAATATTCAGGTTCGTTATCGGGCTTCTGCAGGTCTTGTTAATGATCTAATCGTCCCCTCCACAGTCTGAACGCTCCATTCAGTTGGCGCAGTGATTGAAACGTAATCAGTCTGGTTTGGTGTATCCCACTTCTCACCCAGCTGGGAAAGACGCAAGCTTCCCTGTGTGACCTTGAACAGCATCAGTAGTATGGACATTGGCGAATGAATTGAAACACTCTAATTGTGATTGACAGGTACTAACATCTGGAAAGCTGACAGGTGGAGGAGCCAGGGTACAACAGGCGAGGAAACGGCAAGTTCATTCTTTGTGTTATTGCGTGTTTTACACTTCTTCCATTAATAGCATACTCCTTATTCAGAAATATACTGTCTTTTATTTCTATTATATGAACAGAGCCACCTTTCCAGGTCGAAAGGAACCGGCCTACTCCTTTTATTCCACAGATCCTAAAGACCAGGTGAACAAAGGCTAGGACACAAGGGTGGATGTGGGTGGTCAGTGACGATCATTTTGTATAGCAATGTTCTTGATAATTAAAAAAAATTTGAAAGCAACTTGACGGGGGAAAAAAATAAGAATTGTAGGTTATTTCTAAGCAATCTTCACCAGAGATGGCAAAAGTAAAAACAAACATTAAAAAAAGATTGGCCGGAGTAGTTACTGATTAAACACCTGCACTTATAGAGTAGTAGATAAGTACACATTCTGAAATGTACTTCCTCTATACAACACCCATTTTAATAACTTGACAAAACAAAACAAACACAAAATAGTTTCCCTCTTTAGTAATTGCCGTATCTCTGTCCTCTGAAGAATAAGAATCACGTTGTGTGGTGTTAGGAGCTAGCTAGCTAGCTATCAAAACAATGTGGTCCCATAGCTTTCCCAACAAAACATGTAAAAATCACGAATGATAACATCTGAAAAACTTACACATGTGTTTTTGAATGCCCAAAGCTTGTGGATTTTAGACTGGCACGAGACACAACATTCATTCCAAATCATTCTTGACGCCTAAAGCAGCAAACAGTTCTCTTCAACGAGGCTACTGACAATTATCCATCCAACATGCCATTTTGCATCAAAGTACACAAATTGTAAATTATTGTGAATACATCCCACACTTTGCTCTCAGGTTGCCAGTCTGCACTCGGGGCTGGATCGTTGCGCTGTTCTGCTCTCTGGCATGCTCCAGGTGGACAAGGAAGGTCGGAGGGCTTTCCTGGAATCAGTCATAGATTAAGAGCTCGTATTATAGAAATCACTTGTGCCGTGATGTAACTGTGTCGTTTTGGTGTGTGATTGTGCTTAGAACCTTTGAGACAACCTCTCAAAACAGTGGACAGTGGTGCTGCCAAACCAAAACCGTCCACCGGACCGGGGAAAAAGACCAGCAAGAAATTCCCTCCAACAACAGGTCGTCAGTCGCCCAAAAATCTCTTCATTCTTTGACTGTCCATTACACATATATTTTTTAAAATATAGTTTTTGGAGGATATTTGACATATTTAAGAAGTCCACTGAATTGAATGGAAAGGAAATCACATTAAATTTATGATACTTTTAAGCAATTGCAAAAATGCAAGCTGGTTTCCATCATTTTCCAAAGACAGCTAAAAACATGGCCCAATTGATTTGACAACATTGCGGAACATTTCGTTTGGGGTTGTTAGCTGTTTTCTTCAAATTTATTCTCAAAAACTGACTGTCCCTGGTCTTGCAGCGCAAGCTATCCTTCTGAGATATTCTCATTTAGGGTAGTTTGCACCTGAAACAAAGAGCAAATCAATTTGTGTGTGTGTGTGTGTGTGTGTGTGTGTGTGTGTGTGTGCGCGCGCGCATGCGCGCGCGCGCGTGTTTTTGTTGTTTTTTTTGAGTTCTGATGATGTAAATTGACACTTATTATTATTCCACCTTCAGAACGCAGTTCTACTAAGGTCCCGAGAGCAAAAGATGGTCCTCCAATGTCACAGTTGGGAGTGAAGGCGGCGCCCACCCTCCAGCAGTCTCACTTAATTCCATCCTTGAGACCGTCTCAACCGCTTCCCGGGTCTGCCCCCTCCCAGCCCTTGACCTCCGTCCTTCTGTCTGTGACCCAGTCTGAGTCCGCGCTCCGCTCCGCCCACCCCTCAAGTCAACGGACTCTTGCTCAGACCGCCTGCCAATCAGTTGGCGGTTACCTCACGGCCTCTTTTAATGGCAAAGATGTTGATTCTGTGCCTGTGAAAGACACAGACGACCAAAGTGCAACGCGCTTGAGTGCGCACGCCTACAATACGAAGTTTAATCCTGGTCCGCCGTATGACACCCACCGTGACATACATAGCGAGGATGACGTTAGTGCAGAAAAACTACGGACTGTTCAGTATCTTCTTGGAGAGCTCAAGGCGTTGATAGCTGGCAAAGGTACATTTTCTTTGTCTTACTTTTTTTTGTATTGCATGAGTGCTAATACAAGTATTGCGTGAGTGCTAATACAAGTACTGTGCCGAGGGGGTTCTCAAATTAGTCCCCGAAGCCCTGCGGTGCTGCAAGTCGTAGCTTGGCAGGCCGTTAAATAATTAGCACAAAATTATGTTGTATCATTTTAAAAATGTGCATACCCGCAGTTCATAAGGGGACCGGCGTGCCAATAAAATCTCAATGCTACTGATGATTCTCAAAGTCATGTGCTATTCACCCAATTAAATGTTTAGCCCTAGCCAAAGTGGCCAAGAGTATGGACGTTAATGGCGTGCATTAAACTCATGTTTCACCAACATGAACAATCAGCTAAGATGAATAAGCAAGACATTTGCATACTTGCACGGTGTCTGGAAGTAGCTACAATATTCAGTGATGTCTTTCTGCCCAGCTTTTTCTTTGTCTCGACGAATGATTTAATTTCTACCGACGCCTCTTTTTCTGTTCCTATCACGCATGCTTCCGTCTCCGTTCGCTGTTTTGGTTGCGCAGGCAGTATTGCGGAGCAGCTGCTCAGTCATCTGGAGACGACCGTGTCCTCGCCGCAGTTGATCTCCAAAGGTTTCGACCCTGAGAAATCTGCAGACCTGCAGACTCTGCGCAACTTGAACGCCCAGCTTCACAGGTACGACGCAATGTGAGACGGGGTTCCAGTCACCAACATGTTAATGTACATCTTTATTCCAGACGAGTGGCGTTTCTCAACAAACAGTTAAAGGAGAGGGAGAGACAACAAAATACCGAAACCCTGTGTAACTCACAAGGTAACGTTTTTGTGTTTAAATGTGTGTGTACAGATACAGCAGTTGTGTTTCTCCAGTGTCAGGATCACCTCTCAAAATGGGCTGATTTGACCGGCGCTCTAAAAACCGTGTGAAAAGTGTGCCATGCAATGAACTCATCTTTTGCAACCCAGCTGTACTGTGAATTTTCAAGCAATTGTTTTGTTTGGGTTTTTAACAGTACACGGGAAAATCTCAATTTAGCGTTGTGCACCTTTGTTATAGCACAGTGTTGTGCGGCAACATGCCTGCTATGTTCGAGCATTTATATGGTTATCTCTATGCTGTACTGCAGTGAAGGCTTCTCTATCCTTTGGCTATTTTGATGACTCCAAAGAACTGTTTTAAATTGGGAAAAGGTTCACATTTCATTTAAATGATTAAAGATCAAATGTTTTGTCTTTTTAGTGCTCAGTCTTCCAGAGGATCTCTCTGCTGCTCAATACCGCCTGCAGGAGCTGAAAGTTGTTCTCGCTGAAGCGCGGAAATCTCTTCTGGACACGAAGAAACAATTGCGCGACAGCGAGGCACTGAATGCGCTGATGAAATCAGGTTGAATCTTGCGGCACCTACTTGCTGTCCTGCATTTTGTTTTGGAATTGTATGGCCACACTACTTGTCCTGCGATCGGCAGGCAACCAGTTCAGGGTGTCCCCCGCCTACTGCCCGAAGACAACCGGGATAGGCTCCAGCACACCCACCACCCTCGTGAGGATAAGCCGATTAGAAAATGGATGCATGGATGGACTTTAGGTTGTGTAAAATAGCGAGATCCGATGTCAGTCCTTGCAGAACTTGCATTGCTTATAAAAATTAAGATTCACTTTGTGTGGACCTACTTTTTACAGTGCCAAGAAAGATGTGATTATTTATAACCATTTGTTGATTTGGAGAATTTCAATTCGTCAGCAGAACATTTCAAAAATATTTTTGTTGCACTTGGCGGTCTCATTTCAAAAATGATGGCCCCCGTTGGCACAGCGCGACATCGATTATATGCAGTCACAAGACCGTTGTGTGTGTTTGTACGTGCAGATTTGGAGACCATGAGAATCAAATTTGTCCACAGTGAGCAGGTACAGAGGGAACTGGCCTCACTTGCCCAGCAAAGACTGGAAGAGATAGAAAACCTGAAGAGGTAGGTCCCGGTGTGTACCCAAGTTTGCGATTTGAACTTGCTATCAAAGCTTCATTTGCCTTCCTCTCTCTTTCAGAATGATTAGGAGTGGCGACGTGTATGAGTGCGATAGAGTTGTTGACCTTGCGACATCTGACGCAGCACTCAAGGAGCACTATGATGACCACAGCGGCGCCACTGAACGCATCACGAAATACCTGATGACTCTGGGCCAACCGGAGGCATCGTGCAGCCGTGCTAATGTACACATGGCTGCAGAAAGGGAAGAGAAAACACCAGATGAAACGAAAATGACCCCGCTAGAAAAAACGCCCTCTCAACCCTACCATCATCGTAACCAGACACACAGTGAAGGTTTCGCGGGAGTACAATTATCGGAGCAGCAGACGGGTGAAGAGCGCCGGCAGCTGTTTGACTCGTTCCTTTCTGAGGGCAAGATGGAAACTCTGTCACCTGACTGTAGCATGAGGTCAGTTTCAACCTTTGACACCAGAGATGAGGCAGCGTTTCGAGACGGATTGGCCGCTCTGGATGCCAGCATAGCTAATCTGCAAAAAACAATCAAACAGGATTTAGGGAGATGATTCAATGGTTTTACGTGCCCGTCCCAATTTTGAGTTTGGTTCCTACTCCGTGTTTGTGTGAACGTGAATGAGAGCTTGTTGCTTTCTGTACTCTGCCATTGACTGGCGACCAGTCCAGGGTGTAGTTCGTCTATCGCCTTATGTGAGCTTGCATTGGCTCCAGGTCCCCACAACCCTGATCAGAATAGATGGAAGATGTTGGAATGGTTTTCAGATGTGTTTTTTTTTTAATCCTTTGTAATATGACACTTAAGATGGCCAATAAAAGTTATTTTGAGTCTGTGGCGAAGAGAATCTGGTTTTGCAATCAGTGGACACTCGATACACTTGTACAATCTGATGAGATTTATTGAAAATTTTACAAATAATTTTTATTTTTTCGATTGTCAGAGATGTGGGAAAGCTGAGAGAGGGAGCAACTGGGTTTATGCAAAATATTTTAAGTACACGTCGTAGTTTAAATGTAAATAAAGAATGCAATGCACTTCCTGTTTGGGCCTGGAGAACCAATACTTTTCTCGGCACAACATCAAACAAGGGATTGAAATGAAGTTGCGGCAACCCGATCAGATGACATCATCCTTGCTGCTTGCAGCAAAAACAAACAAACAAAGTATACTGTATTAGCTCAGGAGTGTACTTCAAGTACGTCAGGATGCAGCCATTACAGATTAAAAAGACAACCCTGACCAAGTGACTCGCTGTAGTGTTCACTTTACAAAACTGCACAATGTTTACAGCAATACAAGTAGGGAAAGAGGCAAGGTCTGTTTGGTATTCTGTAGCATTAATTCACAGCCAATATGCTCTTCCATTAGATTGCAGAAGGAATAATTAACCTGCGTAGCCACCTGTGTTCAGTCATACATCAAAGATTTCACACTAAGTACAAAAGTACAATTATAGATTTTTTTGTGACATTTCTTTCTTTGTACTGTAAAAAAATGTAAAATATACAATTTTTCAAAAAAAAAAGGTCAGGAAACAAGTGTTTTATAAAATACAACCAGGAGTCAGATGCAGCACCAAGAGGACATTCCCAAAATGTGTCCACAAAAAAATATTACGATCAGTATCATGACCAAATTTTACGTGAACTATTTAGGGGGAAATGTGACAATCTGTGAGGAAAATATCAAAAGGCTTTTAGCTTATGAGTCCTCGCAGACATACATGCCACCTTCCGCATTTTGAAAGGACTTCGGTCAGATGTGGCCTCTGTCAGACAACTCCTCCGCTGTGTCCCCAAAGCCGTGGTGATGTCCATAAAGTAGGAAGTCGCCGCAATCGGCTCCTTGTAGTTTCTCTAACTCAGGCTGATGGGACACGCAGCCGTTGGGACTTCCTGTCAGATGCAGTGAGCCGCACATGTCTGCTGAGTGGCGCTGAGTGGATGGCGAACCTGCCTGTTGCCAAGACAGCCGTGTGGAAATTTCGTCGCTTTTCATTGGTTCGTCATCATTGTGGTCAACAGGCGAGGGTGGATGGACGCTGTCAGTGACTGCAGTACAATCTGCTGTTGGGGAGGGCGGGCAAAAAATTTTAATTCGTTAAGGTGAAATACGTGACCTCTGGTGAAATTAGAGCAAATATGCGGAGGTTCGCTCTATTTGTATTGGGATTCCTGCAACAGGTGGATGATTCTTTATCCTGTGAGGAATTATTTCACTCTGTGCAATCTTAGCCTGCATAACACATGACAACATGCATGACAGCTAACCTCCACAGTCGGATTCCATGCTGTCTTCAGGTTCAAAATGTTGCATCTGCTGGAACACATCTGCAACGCAATAGACAGCATCCACATTTCGTGAGCATACAAAGGTCAACCTAGGCAGCTAATGAAAGTAAAAGGAGTCGCTGTTACCTCTCCTTGCTTTCTTTGTTTGACCATTCTCAAAAGCAGACTGCAGCCTTTTCCGACAGAGCAGACCAGGACCACGGACGGGGCCGCTCCCATTCTTTTCCCCGTTGCCCTGAAGCTCACCGAGCTGCCGCAGGTGCTCCTGCAAGTTGGCGATGAGGCGCAGGCAGTCGTCAGAACCGTGACTGCGCGCCAGGTCAGCTGCGGTCTGCCCGCTGGTGTTCGTTAAGCTGCACAGCGAGTGAAGACAAGTGAATGGAAAGCAAAGATTCCACGCACTCACATCTATGGTAATTAGTGACTTTGTGAAAAAAAAAAAAAAAAGGTTTACAGTAGATGTATATTTATAAACCAAATGACAAGGCCATTCCAAATGTTGCTCATTTCAGCATATCTACATTGAGAATGTGAATTTTGGATACATTTGTTTTTGGTCTTGCTTCCCAACTCTGAGATTGGTTAACCAGCAGGAAAATGCTATTTGCCGCCCTGCCAGGTCAGTGAAGGTGTGGATGGAAGGTCTAGAATGGCTCCCCAACTTACGGGTTTTTCGAGTAATGGCCTGTTGCTTATCATTATGAGTGAGCTTCGGATATCCGGCCCCTTGATTGAAGTGAAAAAAATAGGAGAGCAACAGTCACTGATGCACTTTAAGCCTTTTATTGATGAGATAACTAGCCAAACATACAAATGCAAAATGAAAACACATGCAAGGAGCATGTAAAAAAGCTCACTCTGAATTAACCGTGTTCTCATACTACGGAAGTGAGAAACAGCTCCTGACTCACTCGCGCCATATCAAGGCATACGTCAACACTACATTGTCTCTGTGTGTGACTTTGGGCTTTACTGTCCTTTATAAAACCAGTTTTTACATTCTGTTTTGTGAATTTTTATTCTTTTAAATTCATATTTTACAATACCGTGTGATTCATTTCAAATTGATAAAAATTACTTTGATGTGCAATATGAGTTACTGTACAAGCTTGGTCATGGAACGCATTCAAATCCTAAGTAAATGTACCACTGTACTTGACATTTTTTCCTGACCTCTGCTCAGCAGGTTACTTACTGCAATTTGGCACCCGCTATCAACAGAACTTGGATGGACTCCATGGAGGCTGCCCTGGCAGCCTTGTGGATGGGAGCTTCTCCTACCAAATCCTGAAAACACAGAAGTTGGGGCATCAGGCTGAAGTGCTTGAAAAAAATGCATTGATAAACATCACAAGCAAGACTTAATATATCATAATATACTTTCGTATAACATATGCCTCGTCCTGGTTGACGTAACTCATTCATTTTGGATGTGTACGTCTACTGTGTAGCTCTTCACTCTTCTATCAAGACCAGAGGAGGGCTATTCCCGTCCTCGAGGGCCGGTTTATGTCTCATGTATGAATCATGTTTATGTTTTAAATGATCAGTTCATCAGCAAGCTCTGCAGAAGCTGGATAACGATCCTGATCATTTATAATCAAGGTGTGTTGGAGCAGGGAGACATATAATTACCCACCCCTGCTTTAGACAATTAATTATAAATTATTTTCCGTTCATAGCTGCTTGCTCTCCCTTTTAAAGGGGAAGTCAAGTCAAATATTTTCTTCACAATATGTTCTATGAGCCCCCAACTAGTCCAAACAGAGTATTCTAATTAATATTGTTAATAATATTAATTCACCCGCATGTTTCCATCTCAGGGGGCTACCATTTTGGTTTGAATTGCTAATTGCAGTCGACTGAAAATGACTTTACAGTGGTTAAGGGCTCTGTTTGTGAACGTCATATGACCAAATCCAGAGAACAGGTGAACTGTGTCGGTCGTTACCTGATCCGGTTTGGGACACGACAAACCACAGACTTCTAATTACCGACACAACGCTGCAAGGTTAAAATGCAAGCGGTTACACATATGCGGCACCTATGTAGATGAATGTACATCCACATGTGGGTGCTTTCATTGATACTTTGTTTCTGTTTGTACGTTTGTTTTGTCTTTTTCCCCCACACAAGTGTACTTATATTAACATTGTGTTCTTTTATATGATTGTATACATGTTTGAATTCAATGACAAAAAAATATATTGAACTAGTATATGTGTCTTAAGCTGGTATGAAAGAGAGTAAACGATCAAATGGCTTTCCATGGTAGTAATATGAATTTCTTTCACATTCATACCACTGCTCACCTGCCGGTTGACATCTGCACCAGCCTGCGACAACCACAAAACACAGCGAGGATGCCCGCCGAGCGCAGCTGTGTGTATTGGGGTCTGCTTGAAGCGACTCGACACTGCGTTCACGTCGCAACCCATCTGCACCAGGCGTATGACACACTCCAACTGCAAGTGATCAGGAAAAAATCCACATGAGATGACAAGAACATTTTGTTAGCATTAGGGGGTTAGTAACAGAAGGACAGAGCAAGAAAAATAATTGTACAGTACAGCTTAATTTTATCAAGTTTGCCTGTAACCAAATTTTGCTTCTTTACTCAGTAAAATTACAGACCAGTAATACTGTACCTAAAGTTAGCTGCATGGTGGTGAGCACAAAGTAATTCCCATCGTCTTCCCCTCACCAAACCACTCTCTTCTTCATTACCATCCATCAATTTTCTATTATGGGTATCCCAAGGCCTATCCCACCAGATTTGGTGCAAGAAGCAGGGTACACCCTGGACTTGTCGCCAGACAATCACAGTCCATATATAGTCAAAAAACATCCAAGTTTATGAGCAAATTAGTTTTCAACCAACATGACATGCATGTTTTTGGAACGTAGGAAAAAGTCGTTACCGGAAAAACCTAACCCAAACCCCCAAAGTACAACACAAACACCACACAGGAAGGCCAGACAAGACTCAAACCCCAAACCTTAGAACCCTTCAGAATTAACAATCTCAGAATTACCACTGATGAAATTAGAAAAATAAACTGCTTACCTGTATATACCGCATTATTGGATTAAATACGTTTAAAAAAAAGAAGAGTGTGAATTTCTATTATTATGACGTACAGTACTATATTTTGTTCAGAATGTTAATTAATATGGCGATATATTGTAACATTCTTATTTCTGAATCATCTTAAAATATGTTTCTAATATTCTTCATATTTGATGTCACAAACCATGAGCGTTAAAACATTTTTGTCATAGGCCACATTGTAGTTCCCTCATAGGACCATTACGATTGTGAAATCATACACTGTACACGTTCCGTATAATCACCTCATTGTATTTTCTGTATGCACAACACATTTATGAATACATTGTTTTAAAAAGTGAAGTGAAGTAAAATAGTTTGTTGAAATTATTTATGTCCACTGGCCAGTTAAAAGAACTAAACAAACGGAGCAGGGGACACACTTCCTGTATAGCTTGGCGCCTAAAGCTGCAATTGGTTCTGTGGGGTTCCTCCGCAACCAATCAAAGATTTTCAAGCTTTTTTTTCCCTCTTATAACTTTATTGTACACACAAACTTGCTGACCAGTCGCGCTCGACGCTCACAACGAAACCACTTAACTCCGTGCCCACAGGGCCGATCGCTACTCTTTCCGCTCAAACTATTAACACATGACAGCAGAGGAACCACAGAAAGTCGACCGTAAATTTCACACAATACTTTTTAGTATCGTGTCATTCCTCTACCTCTGTGTGCGTGGAAAAAGCCGACACAACAAACAAATATCCTCCTTCTACGGTCTTTGAAGCTAATCCGCACCTGTCCACAGTGAGCAGCCCAGTGAATGGGGGTCCAGCCGTAGCAGGAGTCCTCGGTTGTTAGATGAGTGTGATGCTGGTTCAGTGACAGCAAAGCTCCAACATCTCCATCACGACAAGCGCGGTGGATAGGGAACATGCTCGTGAACGCTTCATCGTCACTGGAAAAGTCTCGTTCCATAGACATGAGTAGAGTCTGAAAGCTCTCCGATGTTGTTCTTGGTCACACGGAACTGTCTAAGCACGTTTCAAATTAATTCAAACACAAAGGAAGTCGAGGTAAGCTTCTCGACCCCGCTGGAAGTGAGAAAAATCCGGACTGGAGTATTTGGCAGACCGGTTTAGTTAGTGAAAGTCGGTTGGAGGGAAAAGACGGAAATAAATTCGGGAGTACGTCATTTTACAAATCAGGTCTGTGCGATACAAACCTATACTGTATTTATAGCGTCGTGATTAGGTACGACTATTTTGTTTTCTTTCTGTATATTGATTAGTTTTGAAAATAAGTATTTACCCATGTTGGCTTGTCTTTACTTTACAGGAATCGTTCAATTTGGATTAACAGAAGTTTGACGGAGAAAGTGAGCCTAGCATAGAATGTCTTCGTCATTTGGCGGGCAACCGCATAGCTTGTGTGATGGCGCTAAGGTAAATCTGATGTACAATGAATCTAAAAGTCATTCACAATGATTATTTTTTTGGTATTGTTTTGGTCTGAATGTATTGAGAAATCTCCGTGGGATTTTAATGACGCTCGCTGACTTGCTGCTTCTGCCTTTAGTAGGCTATGATAAAACGTCCACCTGTAACGGGCAACTACTTGTCATGGGTCGGAATCAGACTAAATGTAATTTAATATGTCAGATTTGTCCAAGATAGACAAGCTTAGTATGATTAAATTGGATGAAGAGAAAGTTGGTGATAATGTACCTGTGTATGTTACCATATGATCACTGGCAAACTTGGTATTGGCAAATTTGTCAATTCCCAAGTTAAATAATAATTTTAAAAAGCACTGTCAGTGTACAAAAGGTCTAGTCCAGTAAGCTATCTCTCTTTGACAAGTTCTGTTGATACTTTTCCTGACGTCCCCCTATGTCTAACATCTTCTCCTCAGGATGGTTTTGTTCGAGTGAAGAAAAGAGACCTGGAAAAGTTAACCACAGAGGTCATGCAGTTAAGAGAGTTCCTGCCCAGAGTTGTAAACAGTGATTTGATTGAGATGCTACACAAATCTAGAGTAGCAAAAACAGGTAAGCCACAATGAACCTAGACCATATACTTGGTAGAATTATCCATCCATTTCCTGTACTTTGTACCCCCACAAGAATGAGACAACAAATTATTGGGAAGAGACAAGCCTTGTGATTGGCAGGTTTTGTCCACTCAGCTTGGCTTCTTTCATCCATATGACCCAATATCCGTAAAACAGCGATTCCCAACTAGGGTGCCATTGCACTTTTTTCTCCATTTCACTTGAATTGTCAGAAAATTATGTATTCATAACAAATATACAGTATATTGTTCATCTCTCTATGCCAGCACGGTATACTGATAGCCAGAACTAATAAATGGTCTCCATTAGATGCTAGAAGGTACAATATACAATAAACCTGTTGCCATTCCCAAAAGACAAAAAGTCATAGCTTCCTGCTAGTATTCAAACTTTGTGTTCAATTAAAGAGATCCAGACTGCGCAGTGAACAAGTCATCCGCTTATCTGCACAAGGGTGGCGGGCGTGCTGGAGCCTGTCCCAGCTGTCTTCGGGCAGTAGACGGGGTACACCCTGAACTGGTTGCCAGTCAATCGCAGGTTCCACATATAGACAAACAACAACCACTCACGCTCACAATCACACCTAGGGACAATTAAAAGCGTTCAATCAACTTTCCTTGCATCTGTTTGGAATGTGGGAGGAAACCAGAGTACCCGGAAGAAAAACCCACGCAGGCACAGGGAGAACATGCAAAATCCACACAGTTAGGCTGGAGCCAAGAGTCAAACCCAAGACCTCTGTACAGTGAGGCAGACGTACTAACCAGTCAACCACCACGCTACCCGAGGAGATCATTACTTCACTATTAATACTTTTTGTGACATTTTAGTTTGGTGGTGTGCCGTGAGATTTTTCTATCGGGTGCCTGACCTCGAGAAACACTGATGTAGAAATTCATGTAGGACAACAGATGTGGTTGTGCTCTGTGTAATATGATCTTGTTTTTATCTCCAGAACATCACAGTTTCCTTGCTTTTCATTTATTGTGTCAATGTGAAGAGACTGATAAATAAATAAAGGGTTGATGTGGATCATAACCACTGTTGTAATTTTTCCATGTGTTCATGTGTGTGTCTCTGCATAGTGAAAGCGCATCTTACACAGGAACAGGAGCTTTTACAGGAGGAGTGTCTTCACCTTCAATCCAGACTGGAGGTGTTACAAATTGAATGTCAGAGGGAGAGAGAGGTGAGGCCTCGAGGACTGGATTTGAACATTTGTTTACCAACAAGAGCAATTTCTGCATCATGAGATCCATCACAACATCGGTGTCAAATATTTTGCCTGGTATTGTCTTTGTGAAAGCAACAAAAAAAAAAAAAAAGTGAAACTCTCAAGGACTCTGGTGACTGGAGATTGTATTTTAGCATGCATGGAACACTCCGACCCAATTGGTGATGTGCAGATCTCTACTTACATGTCAAATCCGTTCATTTGAAAACTGTTATGATTTGTTCTTTGTGTGTTTGTGTGTCTGTTTTATGTGTGTAGGAGAAATTGCTGTTACATGAGCAGCTCTGGCAGAGTGGAGCCGAGTTGCAGCAACAGGCTGACTACTGCTTCAGTCTTGGTTCTGCAGTCTGCAGCCTTCTGTGGAACTGCTCAACGAGGGAAGACATGGTTAAACAGTGGCTAGCTGATGTGAGACTTCTCTCGGTGCATTACTTTCATGTACTACATTGAATGTCCTTTTACTCACGGAGAAAAGGGACAGATTCACTGCCGCAAACAGTAGTGGAATTTTCCTCCAAAATAGTGTAATTGCAGATAGATGCCACAAGGTGGCGCCAAAGCGCCTGTATTCGTCAGGAAAACTAAACATTCATCCAGCATGTACAAAATCATGAATCCATGGCACATAAACGACTGTATTTAACAGCTAAACTAGTAAACAAAATGACAAAGGCATGAGGCTAATCAATAGCATTAGCTAGCAAAAGCCAAGAAACCCTAAGGCAATCGGTTTGGAAAATAAAAACGTGATTGCAAAAAAATAAAAAGCCTTTACTTGTCGTGGTTTGGTCATCGTGTAAAACTCTTCACACGTTTCAGCTTGCAAGCCCTCTTGCGGGAATCAACAGTCTAAAACGGAAAAAAAGCTCTTCAAACGCTTTCAGATAAGATAAGATAAGAAATCCTTTATTAGTCTCGCAATGGAGAAATTCCCAATTCTCAGCAGCAAAGTTCAAGAACCAATCAGAAGCCTTCACCTGACAAAAGCAGGTTTCAAGTTGCATTTTGTGACCACTCAAAGTTCTCTGGAAAAAATTTAAATCTCGTTCTTCGTTCCGGCCTTACAGTGGTGATATGGTCAATCCCATTGGGCTGTAAAGTGGATGGGTTTAAAAAAAATCCCCAAATTTTCAAATCTGTCTAGCCGCAAATGTGTGGGGGTTCACTGCACTGTAAAACTTTTGTTCAACCAATGTGTGTTCAATTCTTGTGGCGTAGGGAAGCCTGCCGGCCTTTGTCGCGGTGGCCACACAGACTCTGGGGAGCTTTGTGAGAACTCTGGATGAGGACGTGAAGACTCGATCAGAGGACTGCGACACACAGGAGTACCAGTTTGTTTTGGCGCTAGCTGGAACCATTACTAGTAAGAAGCAGTCAATCACCCTAAAAAAAGCTCAGTTCATGAAACTAAAGATACCATAACTGCTCTTTGCTTCCTGCCAATCAGACATAGCAGCTGTAACCAGTGGGCGGGACTTCCTGTCCAGCTCAGCACATGATCTGTTGGACACACTGATAAAGCTGTTGGAGCTGATGAAGCCTGGTGGATTCTCCAAATTGAAAGTGTACGTATGCAGCTTAGTACTGTGTCATGTCACGAAATAGGTCCAATGATGCAGAACAGATCATGACCAGTTTTCTGTTCATTCTCAACTTTTGCTGCAAATTAGGCCTGGGAGATGCAGATTCATCGGTTTAATTGATTCCTTGGGTGGAAAATTTGTTTTGGCGACCCTCTCATTGATGTGCTCTTCTTGCACCAGCACGGCGCCTGCAGACAGAGAGGAGCTAATTTACAAAAGCACTCTGTTTTCCAATCTAGCAATCTTTCCGACCTCGCCAAAAAAATGACAAGTGACTTTAATCCTCTGTAATGAAGAGACAACATGAGTGGAATCATTTTCCCATGATGCCTATAAATCTGCAAAGTCCCATCCCTCTCCGTGAAAATTTCACAATTTAGTAGCAGACACATCTAGTTCCTTGATGAGATCATTCACGATGAGGACGTTTTTAACAAGTTGAATGCTTGATTCTCAGCATTTAACAAACTGTGTTGTGTTTGTATTTTTGAGCATTGCTGTTTTTTTTTTTTTTTTTTCTCCCCCTAGGTTGATGCTCATGGGTCTTTATAATGCCAGTATCAGTGTGAAGGGGCTCAAATACATGATTGAGAACCCAGCGCTACTGCCTCTGATTCGGACTCTGCTTGAAGGTACGCCACCTCATATGACAACAAGTTTACAACCTGCAGAGCTATCATCATGATCACATTAAATTTGTCATGAATTGGCTCACTTCTTGTGGTGTTTCATATTACGTGTAAAGCCACTGGATGGCGCTCTCACCTCAATGTGAACTGAACGAATGGCTGATGTCCAGTTACCATATTCCCCATCCATCCATCCATCCATCCATTTTCCGATCCGCTTATCCTCACAAGGGCCGCGGAGGGTGCTGGAGCCTATCCCAGCTGTCTTCGGGCAGTAGGCGGGGGACACCCTGAACCGGTTGCCAGCCAATCGCAGGGCACACAGAGACAAACAACCATCCGCGCTGCATTCACACCTCGGGACAATTTAGAGTGTTCAATCAGCCTGCCATGCATGTTGTTGGAATGTGGGAGGAAACCACAGTACCCGGAGAAAACCCACGCAGGCCGGGGGAGAACATGCAAACTCCACACAGGGAGGCCGGAGCTGCAATT